ACTCCTTCCAAATGTAAGATCCTGTTACAGGACTGGCCAAGTGCATGTCCTTCTCTCACACTTTCGGGGCATCCGCTGCAAGTGGTCAGCAAATTCATTTACCTTGGGAGTTGTCTTAGTATTGGCGGTCATTCTCAATGTGCAATCATTCCATAAATCAAGTGGTGTTGAAATGCAAATCCAGCAATGTTTCGAACTGCTGCACATGTTTATCCTCTATAGCTTGTTCTTTCATATTGTTCCAAACATTTCCCACTGACCGTTCGTAGCGCAAGAGGTGGGGAACTGGTTCCATACTCGGCACCACAAGCTTGTATCGGTGTCCGAGTGTGCTGCACGGTGCTCGCTAACGAAGCAACAGCTTCAAAAGACAGAACTCACCGAGATGTAATATGCGCTAGGTCACAATGAGATCGACTGTCGTTCGTGCAGTAACTCACATAAACTCGGGGGGGGGACTATTACCGATGTGCTTTACCCGTTCGGTCTTCTGTGCCTCCCCTTGCGTGATAAGCCGGAAAACGGACGAGCCGTATTCCATTATTGTTCTTACAATGGAAGAGAATATGCGAGTGGCGACCTATTCAGACTAAGTACAACAACTGTGTTTGAACGCCCGAAGCATGCGCAGTCCGTTACGATATGGTCTGTTCGTGTTGTCCATTGACTTCAAATTGCAGCGCGTGAATACACGCAGAAGGCGTGGAATGTGGCGGTTGGCCGTTAATGGTGTAACTTCGGCTGTCACCACCCTTTGTAAATCCCATGAATCTCGACTTACTTGGATTGGTCGAGACGCGGACTTCTGCTGACCACATGGAGATCTTGCTGAGGTAAGTCGCAGTCGTCTGGGATGCTAATCACTCCAAATCTCAAGTCATCTGCAAACGGTGCACACGGTGACCGAAGAAGCTGAGGTAGATCGTTGATGTGTATTAGGTAAAGAGTGGGCCCTAGCACCATGCTTTGGGGCACACCACTAGTAGAAGGATGTCAATCAGTTACATGGTCATTAAGCTTATACCTTATCGTCCAACGAGAAAGTCCTTCATCCACTGGTGCAGGGATTTACCAACACCGCACACTGTCGGCTTGTGGAGGAGGATCTTATGGTTTACCTTGTCGAACGCTTTACTGAAATCGATGTACAGTACTTCGATAGACTTCCCCCGATTCACTGCCCACAAACATTCCTGCATCGTCACCAGCAGGTTGATAATTCATGAGCGGTCTAACATAGTGCTGTGTGGGCGTCGGTAGGTCTTTTGATTGATAGTAGTAGACCCTTCACGATCATCTCGACAACATTGGCCAAAATTGATGTCAAACAAATTGGCTTCTAGTTGTCCTCTTTCCTGGGGTCAATGCCTTTGGCAGTCGGCTTTACCACTGAACATTTTCAGTCGCTTGACAATGAACCTTCCGACAGTTACCTGTTGAACAAGTCGGTCACGGTATGTGAGATGGTGGCCAATAGGGACTTGAGAATCAGTGGGTGGAGCCTCTCAGGGCCAGTAAGTTTGGTGCGTCAAGGTTAGCGAGTAGTTAACTCGTCTCTCCACCACGGCAAACCAGACTGTCGAGTTTGGTAATCGCGGTATACGTCGAATGCGGTGCAGGCACCTTGTCATTTGTAAACACGGAAACTAAGTGCGCCGCTAACGCAGACGCACGCTCAGTGCTGGCGGTTAGGCGTTGTCCCTCCGAACCCTCTACCACTCCTAAATCACCAGCAGCATTCAGGTGCCGTCTCGTATAAAGAAAGATTCTCTTCGGAGCGGCCTTTGCCGTGTTTCCGAGCTAATCCATTGAAATGCCGGCGCTTGCTCGTTTTTGCACTGTTACCAATACTTAACTGCTTCTTATATGATTCGTAGTTGTTAGAAAAGTCAGAGAGGAGGAATTTATCCCACAATGTGCACCTACGCCTATCTGTTTTACCATACTTTTATAGAACGAATTCGGCTTGACTTGTCCAACTTTCCGATACTTTAGTGGTGCAAACCGAGAGCACAGTAATGTCACTCCGCTTTATAACAGCTCAACAATCTTCCACAGATTCAGCTTGCAGCAGATACATGATTGACTTGCCCCGCTGCTCGAGTTCAACCGACTAAGTTTGTTTTCCGGTAGTCCTTAACTGGCTGCTGTGTACGGGAATGTGGTAAAGGTGTAGATCCCTGCTCGCCATGAGGACTAGGTGCCTGTTGCTATGGACCGGGGTCTGAACGTCATAACATAATATCAAATCTAGGCATGACAGAGTTGAATGTAGCTTCATAACTATCGGTCGGTATACGTGTTGCGCTGCTCCACGAACTTTGCTTCGACTTCACAATATCCGGGCCAGCGTCTTCGAGGTCAATTGAAATCACCCATGAGTAGGAAACTGAGGCGACTCATGTGCCTTCGGAGATGCGGCAACCAATCTAAACAACAGCTTCAGGGACTGTGATAAACTGCAGCTCTCCGCGTCTGGGGTGTATAGAGCACCATAGATGCTCACTCAGGCCATCGTCGCTTCTGTGGGCACTTACACGTCTCCCAATTAGACGATCGAATGTGGAGCAGGACGCTATCGAAAGCGGTCGCTAGTCGATCACAGCTCAATTTCCTAGGCAATCAACTCATAATTCAACCACGTCTCTGTGAGCCTCACTACGTCTGGCCTCTCAGATTCAAAGAATCGACAGAGTTCATCGCATTTGTTCATGAGTCGTAGATAATCCCCGTAAAAAAGTAAAACACAGGATTGCAAAGTGATCTCTTTTCGGTAATTCACATCAGGCAAATACAATTACAGAACAGATAACTGCAACAGTAAGCTGGTGAGGACAAAAATGAGGACGGATAGGACGGTTTGAACAGATTTAGCATGTTCGTGCGGTGCTCAAATCAATTTAATCAGATGACATCCTGGTAAGGCTAACAGACAACGCAACAACTTGTGTAAAAATACTAACGAAATAGAAACTAGATAGTTATATAAATAAACGCACCTGGTTATGCGTACTACTCCGAGAAAACAACTTCCCGTCAGGGCCATGGCAAACAAGGGTTGCACAAGCACTGTATGCTTGCCCAGCTCTGGTTGTGTTAGCCTGATCGCGATGGCTTCAGCCGTCTGCAAGAGACTTTTCCTCAACCCTTTCGGGATCTCCTCAGTACGGCATAGTATACTTTGAAGGCGTCTTTGGTCAAAATCTAATGCCCACTTTGAAACAAATGATCCAAGATCGAGCTGTTGATACTTCTGAGCGTGCCTCTTCGCAGTGACCCTGGACAGTGCTCAGCCAACCTTACCGACAGACACCTGTTCGTATGCCCTAGATGGCATCACAGGTGCAAGCAAATTGGTAAACAATGTACGATTCGGACGACATTGGCAGTCTGTCTTTAAGACATTGAGTTTTAAGAGTGTGGTCTCCGCAAGAACGTTCGGGTGAGAGGCCTGGTAGGTCTTTGCTACGGCGTTAGAAAGTCTCCTGTTCAAAAGATCGAAGGCGATATCTCTTTTAAAAGGAACAGAGAGAAACACATTCTAAGCCATTGCTACAGGCTCAAAGCGCTCACGGGTGATGGTATGCTTTTGATAAAGGGTTCAGGGTAACCATTCGAAAGAAGTCTTTCCACAATTCGGTCCTTCTCACCCTCGAGTGTTTTCGGAGTACACATGTTAGTGACCCGGTAATACAAGCAACGCACCAAGTTGCGTTTGTACTTCAGAGGGACGAAGCTCGAAATGTGTGTGCTGTCTAAGCCATGTAGCTTTGCGAAAGATACTACGCTCAAGTGATCTGTCCTCGCGCCTCCTCAACAAAACTTTCAGCAAAACCAGCTTACCTTCATTTTCCATTTCACTAGTGAACTTCATTTAGGTATGTGCATTATTTAACTGGTCGTGCACATGGTTAACATCATTGCGAGAATCACAGATGATGAAAGTGTCATACATATACCTTCAATAAGAATCAAATGAGACAGTAACCTCTTGGATGGGACGACGCTCAAACTTTGCGAGAATGATGTCGACAAGGAGGGGTCCAAGTGGGGACTCCATCGCCATGCCATCGATTTGTCTATAATAGATTCCGTCAAACCAGAATGGTCTATTAAAAATACACCGTAAAATTAGCTCCTTGAGCTTGGGCACTGGAATGCCAACGTTTATGTTCTTAATCGTTAAATACTCGCAGATGGAATTAACAGTTTCCAGCAATGGGACCTTTGTGAAAAGGGATTCCACATCAAAAAAGCATGTTTACCATTTAACTTCAGGTTTTTAACTTTATCAACGAATTCGAACGAATCTTTCGAAGAATACATAGAGAGCTGCTTATGTGCAGGTTCCAACAATTGCACAATCCATTTCGCAACTAAGTGGTGTGCGGAAGCGAGCATGTCAATTATTGGACGTAGAGGGACTTTTGTACTTTGGGCAATCCGTAGAGCCGAGGAGGTCGGGAGCCAATAGGAGCTAACTGCTGCAGCTGAACATCGGTTATCAAGTTCATCTTTCAAGATCTTTGTAATCTTTGCTTCATCGTTTGCCGCTTTGTCCTTCTGGATGATGTCACGCAGTAATTTACGCGAGTCTTTCAAGATAACTTGAAAGTTTGAAATGTACTCTGATTTGTCCATTAGCTCCCATCCCGATCCTTTATCAGGTCTAGAAAGAATAAGATCAGGATTTGACCTCAATTCTTTGATTGCTTCTCAATGCTTCCTGGACGGAATGTGATTTGATTATGGCGACTAACTAAGATCAAATAAAGCTTGTTTCTGCACCCACAAATATTCCATGCGTTTCCTACTGTATCCTTGGATCAGTCGGCGATTTTACTCTCCAGTTTTATTATGGCCTAAGCACTAACATGTCTTTACTTCATGTCAATAGCCACCTTCTTTCAGTGCTTTCAATGCACTCTTTTTGCTAACTTTTCGGTGCGTTTCTCTAACATTTTTCCAATATGGTATACCTGAGTTTCTCTGACTTTTAGACTCGCCATCAATGGAACTCCGATGTGGACGTTTCCTTGTCCAAAACCATAATGGTCAGAAGCCCGGGTAAGCATTCACCCCCCCCGTGTTTCATCTTCTCCCACTTTCCTCTCCTGCTCACTGTTCTTTCATCCAACTCCCAAATGACTGCTGTGTCCACCGGGCAATGCTCCATCTCACTTCTAAATCGAAACGTGTGCCTATTTCGAGTGGTGACTGCCGTGTTGATCTGTGAGCCTTCTGCAATCAATTATCTTCAATCAATCCAATCAGCAAAAATACATGTACCGAAGTGCGCTGGCTCAACTTCTTAAACCCAGTACTACCGCGGTCATGATAACCGCCAGTGATGGACGGTATTTGAGGATGAACACGAATTAACAAGCAAATATTCGTAGGGAAAGTGGTCAGTATAAATTATATTTGACAGAGAAGTCTATGACTGTAATGAAGACGATTACAGTAGGTCCACTGGCTTCACCATATTAAAAGTCGATGAGGGGATAAAAGAGCGAAAGGAGTATTTACTGAGCTTACAAGACAAAGTCGTGTCAATTAGACACAGAAGCAACCGTCAATGTCATATTAGCCAATGCGTATATTTCCTTTACGTGTGAAATGCTGTTCTTGTAACCAAGACAGCTCATTAGCACATTTATGTGTTCGGTAGTCTGTGTGGTTAAAACATTTTAGAATATACGGCTTTGCTTGCTACTGAGTTTTGCCTAACAGGTTTTTCCTTAACCACACTATTCTATTTTGGAAGGATTTTATGATTTCCTTGATAAATGCATGGTCATTGGTTCTGGTCTAGAAGATTTCCAAGTTTAATGCAGTATGTTCTTTCATTTGTACTGCACCTGACAGTGACTGGTTAAGCTATTCCAAACCACAGTGTATCTGACGAGGAAGAAGACTGTTCTTGGTACAGTTAGTTTACAAGTATTGTTGCGAAGTTAACGGGTGAAGTTCTGTTGCAATTCTAATGCGCACAAATTGGAACATGTCATTTGGTTAATGAGATTGTGAGTGGGCATCAGTCGTCGCAACTAAAAAGGCTTGAGGTTAAGCTGCGAATGATATTCGCAGGTATTCCAGAGCTTTTCTGATATATATATATATATATATATGCGATACTCAAGGATGAGAAGAGTAAGGATTTTGTTAAGTCCGATCTTGACAGGGACTATGGACTTTAAAGCCTGTTAGCCATAGATCGTTTGGCGCACGTTACTTAACATTAGGCTTGCTTCGGGAAGTTAAATTTTGATGGGTATCGTATTCCTAGATCACAGTTAGACAGCTTCACAAATATGCGTTCGTTATTCAGTTTAATTGACTCCTCAGGGATCGAACATCCCTAGGACATGATGATTGTTTCACTATTTAGAACTTTATCAGCCGTCATACCATTTCTCAAGTGTTTTGGAGTTCGTCTCATCAAAACTTATGAACAGCCTTAATGTCATCAGCCAACAAAAAATTGCCTATCGTATTTGATGAACATCGTGTTATCATTTATATAGATTTGGAAAAGGGGAGGACCAATTGCGCTCCCTTTGTTCATACCACTAGTGATTGGACCTGGGGAAGTGTAATGCTTACTCAAAGTGACTATAGGAACGCCCATTCACGTACAAGATCGACCAACTCAGTAGAGGGCCTCGGATCCCAACGGACTTGATTTTTCTCACTGGCCACTTGTGTGGCACCGGTTCGAATACTTTTTGCTTGTATATATATATATATATATATATATATATATAATGATTACGGCTGGGATAAACCGAGTAAGTGCATTAATTCATGAAAATCTTTCATCGCCCCGCTTGTGCACCGTGGCCTCAAGAGTCTCCGACAGCGGTATTCTTTGACTCTACAGCTCGGAAGACGTACGGGACCGACAACAGCTAGACTGGAAGTCAGTGTCTTGACGTTCTACCGTCATGTGGTAGGTTGACCACCGCGCGATTTTTTCCAGTGTCGCCCTGCATGAGCGAATAAATGGCGCCATGGTAAACGCTCGCACGGCATGCGTAGGACGCGACCCAGTCATCTCAGTCTGCGCAGCGGTACTAGCTTTTCGAGATATTTAACATCATCGTTGCAAACATGGTATTCCCACCACACACGAGCTATCCTCCGCAGACAACCGTTGTTAAAACCCGAAATCCGACGCAAGTCATTTACACGGACCGGCCAAAACTCACTACTGTACAACAGTACTACGTGAACACAAGGATTGTAGACCCTACTATTTACCGAGAGCGAAACGTCACGGCAACACCACAGATGCCTCAGCTTAGCGAAAGCTCATTGGGCTTTGTCAGTGTTTAGAGAGATCTCACTCCAAATGGTGCGATCAGTAACCACACTGCTCCCAAGGTAGGTAAGGCTGTCTACTTGTTCATGCCACGCGCCTTCATCAATTGGCTTTGGGGCAGATGGATGCCAATTCTGGACTAGGACTGCATTTCCATGGGGCAAAGGGCATGCCATACTTGGCGGCCTCAATCAAGAAGCAATTTAGAATCACCTGCATGATGTTTGGGTCGTCACCGTCAGTCACGCGGTTACCTGCAAGATGCTCTACGCGAGAACGCCGTTAGTAGGAGTTCCTTAGTCGCACAATTGTAGAGAAACTGGGACATAGGGAATCTGTCGCACATCGCAAGTGGCAACGAAAGATAAAGAAAGCTTATTGTAGGCTCTCACTCTGCCAGAGACATTGTTGTACAAAGCTCGAATGATAGCGGGATGCTTTTCGGGTACCCCACTCTTTTTCAGACAACGCCATACAGCATGCCGATCGACCGAGGCCTACGCACCTCGGATGTCCAGGAACGCGACAATGTTAGTAAAGGTGACGCTGCTCGAGGATTTGGCGTAGCATAAACTTGTGATCCACCTACTCTACCGGGACGGAAACTAGCCTTTTCCTCACGGGAGTGTAGTTCTTGTATCAATGTTAACCTGTAGAATGGCATGAATGTTATCAGTTTGAAGATCGCAGGTATTTGCCTAATTCCTCTGTGTTTGGCTCATAAGGTGCGGGCAACCTTCTTTAATATCGTGACGATAATCGACTGACTCAAAGAGGATGGGAGCTTTTCTCCACACCAAATCTTAGAGAACAGAGCTGTTGACTGGTCGATAATTGCACCGTACTTGAACTGCTACGGCGGAAGTCCAGGAATAAACTTCTGACTGAAGGCATTTGGATGCTGTGATGTAATTTGGGTAGTGCACTCGACGAATTGTGCAGTGGCACTTATCGGGGAGTCTATGCTGGGACTCCTTGAGCATCTAATTAATTTCTCTAGAAGTCTAGTGTTTATGATAGTGTGATGAATTGCCAACGTTCCGGTGTTATTGTCTCCTATTCCTGCACTTCACGACGCGTTTCGTCCTGGTATGGACTCATCAGGTTGAGATAACATGAATCAGGTGTGGAACTCAATTATCGCCAAGATCACTCGACCGTTGAGCTTCGCGAACGGAGCTTGACACCGCGGTTTGAAACTGTTTGTCGAGTTTGGAGTATACGCCGTGTGTCTTGAATTGCGACACTCATTCGCAATTGTGGCTTCGGTTGACTTTAAAATCAGTCTGTGCCATTCCGACAATCAGCTAGCCGCTGTGTCAAGTTCTGCTGGTGGAGCTCAATGATCTAGTTATTATGGCGATAGCCGCCGACTTTTACTCAGGTTGTCTTCACCTGATGAGTTTAAAACAGGAGGAAACGCACCATAGAGTTCATGGATGGGAGACAGCCACACCGAAACCCTGTCATCACACTCCCATAATTGTTAGACTACTAAAAAGTCAGCTGAAAGTGCAATCCTGTGTCTAACTTCTCGTCTCAAATTGCTTGACGAATCCCAGCATGATTGACGGCATTCACTTCCTGATTCGCCTGTCACTGCGGCCTTCAAAGGATAGTCACTGAAAGTCTGCGCATACAGATGGACCATACGTGGCTTGTGCTGCATTAACCACAGCTCCATCCACATACCCCATAGCCAGTGTAAACCCGAGGGAATAAGTCCGGAAGGCTTGTGGATGTGATCCACCTCTCATCAACGGAGCCGGCCCACACTCCTTCACCATACACAGCAGCAGCATTCCTGTTTATCTAATTTTAGAATCATGCGTACCAGACGTACACCAAGCGGTGACTGGGTCGTAGTCCGCTCCACACTCGATGGAACCACTCTAAGCCTAGCAGGGCCACGAGGACCATGTACCCCGTCCCCCAAGCAACGATTCACAGTCCATTGTAGCCAGTAATCAAGGTGGAGGGTGTTAGACAGCTAGGCACCTTGTCAACATTCAACTCCTACGTAGCCACACTGGGGATATCAAACAATCAACACAGTATTTGAAGGAAAATAAACTTTCAAAATTGACACGGGACACACAGCGGAATAGCAGAACAGAGCAGGTCAAGTGAAGTGAAATACTTTTTCTCCAGATTTAGTCTATCTAGTCGTTGTGTAAGTCGGTGTAGCTTAACTGCAGTGAAGAAGGATTATGTACGCAACATCAATCTCCGCATAGACTCCTCAATAACCGCCACTGTACAATTTGTCGTTTGCACTACGTATATTACACCACAGTATCCATGGCCTCCAGTTATAATTTTATTCCTGGACTTCTGCTATACGAAACGCGTCATGGAGTGCAGGTATGAGAGAGCGCGACAGCGTAACCCTCCACTTTGGATAAGGTCCCAGGAATCCGAATGACACAGGTTGACTTCACTGTCAACCGAAACCACAACTGATATTGCGTGTCGCAATCCGAGACACTCGGTAGGTAATTGACGGTTTCCCTTTGAATCCACCTTTTTGACGAGGGGTAATAAGCGATGATTTCTACGTATCCCGGGAAAATGGTCAGACTCTAGCCAGAAGGTTAGCATGTTCAACAAGAGCGGCGATATGTCAGGTGGATGAAGGATGCCATCGGACCTTAGCTTGAACGATGTTTTGATAGACTTAATAGTTTGTTGGATGTAGACGTTGTATAGGATGATTGTTGAAGTAAGTTCTTAGAAGGAACAT